TTAATTTGCATTTCCTTGTCTGCTCTCCGTAAAAGCCCACCTCCCCAAGCTGCCTGCAAGCAGTCTTGGAGGCAACAGCCCCAATGGCTCCTTTCCTTGTGCAACGAAATAAAGGCCTCTTTCTGATGTTCCACCTCAGCCTCTTGTTTGTTGGCTGTAACAAGTCATGCCCAGGGAAACCCAGGGTTTTCACCCGGCAGCACGTTGGTTCCACAAATTTTGTATTCACTAAATGCTAATAGAAAAAGATAAGAGTGGAAAGTCTTTTGTGTTCTGTTTTATGATTTGTTTATGTGAAAGTTTCCTAAAAGATATTTTCCAAGATTGTCCTGGCTATTGTCTTTATACCTCAGGGTCCAGTTGATATATCCTTGTGAGTCCAGCTACAGCTAGTTCACAATCTCTATGCTCAAGGACAGGGAATAATGACTCCGATATTATCTCCTAAATCACCAGGGACTCCAAAGAAACCTCAGAAAAGCCTTTTCAGTATTGTCTTAGTTATCTAGTGCTGCTATAACAGAAATACCACAAGTGGATGGCTTCAACAAATAGACGTTTATTCTCTCACAGTCAATAGGCTAGAAGTCCAAATTCAGGGCATCAACTCCAGAGGAAGGCTTTCTCTCTCTGTCAGCTCTGGGGGAAGGTCCTCATCATCAATCTTCCCCTGGACTAGGAACTTCTCAGAGCACAGACCCCAGGTTCACCGCATGCTCTATTCTGGCTCTTGTTCCTTGATGGTATGAGGTCCCCTTGTCTCTCTGCTTGCTTCTCTTTTTTTATATCTCAAAAGAGATTGATTCAAGACACAACCTAATCTTATAGATTGAGTCCTGCTGCATTAACATAACTGCCTCTAATCCCAACCCATTAACATCATAGAGGTAGGATTTATATAACACATAGGAAAATCACATCAGATGACAAAATGGTGGACAATCACACAATACCAGGAATCATGGCCTAGCCAAGTTGACACATATTTTGGGGGTGCACAATTCAATCCATGACAAGTATAATACCAGCAATTTTTACTGAAAGTTCGAAAGAGGCCCAATTAAACAAGACAGTGCTGAGTGATAAATTAATAGCTAGGAAAGCTATAAAAAAAGAGCCCTGTTGGTGTGACGGAAACCCTGGTGGCGCACTGGTTAAGAGCTATGGCTGCTAACCAAAAGGTCGGCAGTTTGAATCCACCAGGTGCTCCTTGGAAACCCTATGCGGCAGTTCTAGTCTGTGCTATAGGGTCTCTATGAGTCAGAATTGACTTGACAGCAATGGGTTTCATTTTTGTTTTGGGAGGTTTTTTTTTTGGTGGTGCAATGGTTAAGTGCTCTGCTGCAAACTGAAAGATTGGCAATTTGAACCCTCCCAGTGGCTCCTCGGAAAGAAGACCTGTTGATCTCCAGTAAAGATTACAGCCTAATCTGTCACATGGGGTCAATATGAGTCAGAATCAACTCAACAGCACCTAAAAACAACAACAAAAGCTATAAAAAATAACCAGAAAATTCCAGGTAGTAGCCACCTATACGGGCAGGAGGGAAAAGAGGTCAGGGTGGGGTTCACGCGTTAGACTAACCACTGCCCATGGTTCGTTTAGGAACGTGGTGCTCAGTCTAGGGAATTCTATGCAACTTTAGTATTGAAACATAGCATGAAATGTGCAATGCATTGTTTTCTGAGTATGCTATAGTTCCCAGTGAAATTTGAAGAATTATTTAAGCATGAAAAAATACACAATTTTCACATATTTATGTCACCATTTTATCAGGCTTAGTCCGGAGGGCTTTCCACGCCTTTTATAGGAGTTTGTGTCAACATTAGACAAATACGAACAAGTGACGAGAGCCCGCTGCTGGAGAAAATACACAGTCCCCAGAGGGGCAGCTGGTGGGACCACCTGCATGGATGTGAGGTGGGGGTTTCTTCGCAAACACAGCTGCACTTTAACATCCAGCAACCAAAACGAGGAAACGATAGTTTATGACTCAGAGGTCCGGGAAGGGAGCGCAGTTGAGGGCCGCTTACCGAGCCCACACGGGTGCGGACGAAGGAAAGAATCAGAACCAGCGAGAAAAGACCTGGGCTCTCTGGTGGCGCAGTGGTTCAGCGTTTGGCTGCTAACCAAAACGTTAGCAGTCTGAATCCACCAGCCGCTCCTTGGAAACCTTATGGGGCAGTTCTACTCTGCCCGTTAGGGTCGCTATGGGTCGAATCGGCTTGATGGCAACGGGTTTTTGGTTTACTTTGGAGAGAAGCACACTTTATTTCTCTGGCTTAGGGACTATTGGCTAAGTTCAAGCAAGTGGCAGGAAAATGGGAGTCTGGAGTGTGAATCCGGCAGGGAGGGCAGGGGGTCCTTATCTGGATTCCCAGATGGCACTTGTGGATGGAGAAAAGGAGAGCCCTGGAGGGGCGAGGAACTGCCTCTGGACTGTTATCTAGGATTTTCCATCCTGGCGTGAGCTGATTAGGAAGGCGAGCAGGTCTGCTGTTTTGAAATATTTTGGTAATGTTTAAGCAGAGGCTGGAAGAAAAGGGATGTCGAGACATCAGAAAATAGAGTTTGGGTTTCCTATGACACGGGTCTGTGGAAATGTACCTTTTATTCATTTTAGCAAGACTTGAGTCTCAAAAGTTTGGAAGGAAGCCCAGTGTCCATTTAGACATAACTGGTTACGTAAACTTATATCTTACAGTCACAGAAATTAAGGAAGTCACCGATCGATATAACGAGAGTTGTAGGATTTATTTTTTAATTTTTTTTATTGTGGTAAATCTATAGGTAACAAAACATTTGCCATTTCAACCATCATCACATGTAAAGTTCAATGACGTTAATTATGTTCATCGTGTTCAACCATCACCATTAACTGTCAGGAATTTTTCCATCACCCTTAACAGAAGCTCAGTCAGTGTCCCCTAAGCATCGTGTCTTCCTCCCCCCACCCCCAGCCCATGTTTTTGTTGTTTTGTGCTATCCGGTTGATTCCAACTCAGAGCAACTCCAAGGACAGAGTAGACCTGCCCCATAGGGTTTCCTAGGGTGTAGTCTTTATGGGAGCGGATCTCCAGGTCTTTCTCCCTGGAGCCACTGGTGGGTTCCAACCTCTGGCCTTCTGGTTAGCAGGGATGCCCTTAATCATTGCCCCGGCAAGGCTTCGCCTACCATGTGGATTTCTTTTTAATTGACCAAAAAACCAAAGTGTATTGCAGTCTGTAAACTATGTTACCTTTTTATCACAGAGAATCAAAAAAAAAGACAAAAACAAACTCATTGCCCTCGAGTTGATTCCGACTCATTGTGACCCTACAGGACAGAATAGAACTCCCCATAGTTTCCAAGGAGCAGCTGGTGAATTTGAACTGCCGACCTTAATGGTTAGCAGCTGTAGTACTTAACCACTACACCATCAGCGTTATCAGACAAAAGGAAGAAAAACACGTGTTTGAAATTGCTCCTCTTTCTACAAAGAAACGCTGATTAGATATATAAGAAACTAATAGAATTGTTATCTACGGGGCCTGGGGATAGCAGACACGGGCCGTAGAGGACATCCTAGGGGCAAGTCTTAAGACAGACTTCTCAATCTCAGCCTCATTGTTTTTAGAATTTGCTGTTAATTCGTAGTAAACAAAGAAATTTAGATTAATTATATGTTGTTTTTAATACTTTATAAGTCAAAAGATCTTTAATCTGAAGCCACTTTTCCAAGTCTGAATCCCCTACACACTATTTTTCATGAAAATGTACACCTTTTCGAAAATCATAAAAAATGATTTTTTTCTATTGTTTGTAAATAAAACGACAATAGTAGCACCTGTACTTCCACTCCATCTCAAACTGGAGAGTATTTTCTGCAATGAGCAGCATATTTCCTTCATTAAGAGTTTTGGCCCAATCTGTAAGCGTAACTAAGAGGTTCCAGGTTGTCAGAATAATGCAAGCACCAAAAGCAATTAAAGTGCGTAGGGTTTATTGGAGCAGTTAATCTGTATGCATACCAGGAGCATTTTCTGTTCAGCAATACAGGATGGCTCCTTTTAAGCTAGTTACAGCGGTTTTTTAATGAGAAAAAGGAGGACGTGTATCGTGGAGTTGCAAACATTTAATCGCTCCACTGTTATCTGAAACACTGGCGATTCGAACCCAACCAGAGGCACTTGCGTGAGACAGGCTGTGACCTCACAGCCTTGAAAACCCTATGGAACAGTTCTCCTCTGAACTGATGTTTTGCATAATATCTGGGACTCTTTGCACAAGGAAAACTTGGAGCAGCCTTACGGTTAAAAGATGTTCCATTAAAAGGGTGGGGTTGCGCGATTGTATGGTCGCTGTGTCTCACTGTATCGCCTATATTGCTAAGCTCTTAGGCTTATCTGTTCTTGGGTACAGTCTACAACGGTCAGTGGCCCCTGTTAATCTTCATAAGCACTCAGAGGACTCCATTAGTCCTCAGTTTCTCTTTAACAACTACCAACTCAATTTATACACGCTTTTAATTTTTTTTTATACCAGTTAAAATAGGACTTCAATCGCCTTAGGGACATCATAGTCTTTACATTTCACAATTCTCCAGGAACACACTCAAAAACTTATCTAAAATTTCCTTACGGTGTAAAACGTCCACCTGAGAATTGTAATGAACACATCTCGTTTATTCTGGCTGGTCTGAGGAGTTCCTGCGACCAGGCCAGCGCTGCGGGATTCAAACGTCCAGCCAGCGACAAAGGAGGAAGACGCAGGAGGCAGACGTAGGAGGCCGCGGAGCTGTCTAGAGACGCTTGTGTCCGCGCGGGGCGGGAACGCTAGCGACAAATGCGGACGTCCCGGGGGCGGGGCTAGAGGAAATCCCACCCACCCATCAAGTGTGCTCCCGCCCCGTCTGTCACTCTTCCTTCCAGCTGTCCAATCAAGGGTGTCCGGGGCGGGACTTGGAGACTCGTCCAATCGGCGGGCACCAGGGTCGAGACGACTCTCCTCAAACGCACGAGAACGTCCTGCTTGGAGCGTCGCACCGCGATCGTGTCTCACCTGTCCGGTGCGTCCGCAGGTGGCGCCGTCTGCACGGAGAGGACGCCGGGAGATTTCCAGAAGCCTGGAAATGGTGAGCGCGGGGCTGGGTGTCGGAGACAGGGGCGAGGGGAGAGCCGGTTGGAACCGGCTGGAACCGGCTGTGCGCGCGGCCCCGGACTCGTTGAGGAGAGACTCGGTCCCCAGGCGGGCGCTATGGGGACGCTGCGACCTCAGGGTCTGCGGGGTCTCCTCACGAGGGGACGGGCGAGGTCACCGGGGACTGAGGAGAGGTGGACACGCCCGGGGTAAGAGGATCGCGGTCCTACCGAGGCCACCCCATTCTCGGGTGGGCGGATGAGAGGGGGTGTTCTGCCCAGGGGTGTCCGCTCGGGGCCCGTAGGGCCGGAGCAGCCCGCAGCGCGGCGCGGACACAGCGGGCCCGGAGCGGGCCGTCGGGGCACCTGGTCAGCCTCCCCGCTGCGACGCCCCGGCCGCGTCCTGCCCAGCGCTCAGGTTCCTTCGTTAAGCGAGCCTCAAACCAACCAACCCACCCCCACTGCTGTCCAGGCGACTCAGAGCGACCCTGTAGGACAGGCTGGAACTGCCCCTTAGGGTTTCCGTGGCTGTGATCTTTACGGAAGCAGACTGCCGCAGCTTTCCCTCGCAGAGCGGCGGGTGGGTTTCAACTGCCGACCTTTGATTGGCAGCCGAGCGCTTTAATCACTGCGCCACCAAGTTCCCCTTAATGTAGAACCATTTCTTGTTGCCTTGTTTGTTCTCCTTGCAGTGGGTGGTGGTAAGTTTCTGTTCTTTCCCTTCCATTGCTGGCTGGAGTTATTCCTGGCCTCTGTGGAGACCGCTGCGGGGAAAGGGTCTCAGGAATGTTCTCTGCCATCGGAATTGCGGGTGAATGCACACAGTTGCCCGCCTTAAACTGAGGTGGATGAAGAGATGGATTGAAAATATTCATCGAAATAGTTACTCTCCTATGCCGGGCGTGGAGTTTGTGACTTTGTGTGATTCTGGTCCACTTCGGTTAACATCCGGGAGTCCGAGCTTAATGCACTTTCTGTGAAATGTGACCTGTAAAGCTGAGAAGGGTTCAATTCTGATTACTTGATTTGCAAACAATTTGTTACCGTGAGGATAATGGCTACCTGCTTGACACACATTTTCTGAAATGCGTAAGCATTTTCCGGGTACTGAAGCCTAACAACAATTGTGAGGATGGCGCGGGACCGGGCAGTGTCTGTCGTACATAGGGTTGTTAGGAGTCGGAAATGACTCCACGGCACCTCGCAAGAGCAAAGCTGTAAAGAGTGCTTTAGCAGATGTATAGAGACTGTTAAAGAAAAATGTTGATCGTAGGTAAATTTTGCAGAGTTTATTTGGTTCTTCAGAGATTTTTGAATTGGGCAGCAGTGTTTCCAGTAATCCTAGGAAGTGTCCCGCGGAACAAAGACAGGCTGGGAGTTTATATAGGAAATAAGAGACAAAGAAAAAGGCAAAACAAAGCATACTTTATATATTTTGAACATTAGTTTTATCATAGAGTGAGATACACAGAATAGGTAAAAATGTAAACTGTTCTTTTCACGAGGGTCTTGTTAATGTCTGAGCTCAATTGTCTAAGCTTGTAGGCCAATTAAAATAGGCCAGCAGAAAAGTTTGTGCATACCAATGAGATCAAAGGAGATAGGAATTTCAAACCCTGGGGTGGGGAAACCAGCCCGGCTCTCTGGCTCCAGTTAGTCTGGAGGATGAAGCCCAGATTTAACAAGACCCAAGTCTGTTAGTGGTTACCAGGGGCAGGCGGGAGAGGGGGAGGGGGAGTCATTGTTTAGCAAGAATTGAGTTTCTGTTTATGGTGCTGGAAAATAAGGCATCGGATTTGAAGATGGTTGCAGTGTGATTAATGTAATTGATGTCACACAGCTGTACATGTGAAAAGCGTTCAATTCCCAAGTGTTGTGTTATATATATTTTTGCAACAAAAAAGAACCAGAAAACCAAACAGGTTGCCATCGAGTCGATTCCAACTCATAGCGACGCTATAGGACAGACTAGAACTGTCCCATAGAGTTTCCAGGGAGCACTTGGTGGATTCGAACTGCTGACCTTTTGGTTAGCAGCCGTAGCTGTTAACCACTACGCCACCAGGATTTCCTACAAAAAAGAAAGGATGCCTTAAAATTTCTCAGCCCTTTATCCTTGAACACAAAGCCAAAACCGGTTGCCGTTGAGTCGATCCTGGAGCGGCTGGTGGATTCGAACTGCCCACTTTTTGGTTAGCAGCCATAGCTCTTAACCACTGCACCACCAGGACTCCCCTTGAACATAGGCTGAAATTAATGACTCTGCTGGGTCCTTAGTGAAACACTGAGATTGAGGGCCTTTTTCTCACTAAACTATCACTGGTGGCAGCAGGCAGGTGCGTCTCAGCTGTATCACCTGGAGTGGGGAGAAGAGGCCTGAGGTCTGTGACTCCAAGCTGAGTCCACCCTTGAGCCTGCGAAATAGGTGAAGGAATGTCCGGTCGAGTCTTTTGGGGATCCTCCCTCCACCCCCACCCCGCAAGTGGCAGGTGGCCCTGGCCACTCAGAACAGCCCAGAAGGAATTGTTTATGCTGAGAAGCTGGGAGCATTGGAGGGGGAGAGCCACATGCCAGTGTTTGGCCTTTTGTCCTTTCTGAGGTTGTAATTGTTGCCTTGGGGCTGTTTCCTGTTAGCTTGAATTTGGCATGGACAGAGCTGGTGGAGTAATCTGTACAGGTTGAGAAAGCCTGCAAAGATCAGACTTGGGGGAAGACTCCTTTGGGTCTGACTCCTGGAGAAAGGTCTTATGCATGTGAGCATTTGGGTCAGAACCTAAAACCTACTCAGGTGGAGAGTTCCATACTGGTGAGAAGTAGGCCCCGCAGGAGGGAGCATTTCCACACTGTGAGGAGGGAGAGGAGGGCTGTGAGCTCCCAGTGTGCAATGCTCTGGGACCCCGGGGCTACATTTCAGCTGGCAGAGTCTGGTGGGTAACCTTCTGAATGGGGAGTTTCCTTGGAAACTGTGGGTGAAGCAGTTTCCTCATCTGAGCTGGGCCTTCCCTTTTGTTTCCTTTAGAGAATATTGCTGCCAGATAACTGCAGACATTTAAGAATTTTATTCCTTTGCTTGGATGTGTAAGGTTTTTGTTTTCATGATGGAAGATTGAGTGGATTGAGTGATACAGTCTGAGGAAGCCAAGAAAATTCTGGAAATAGTATTTGTTTCATACTGAGTATGAACCAATAATGTAAACACCTCTGAACTCACCACCCAGGTAAACAGATAGGCCTTGGCAGGGTGATAGTTTCTGCCCTGTGTCTCCCTGATCTTATTACCCTGCCACCCTAGTGGTGAACAATGTTCTCCTGTTATTTTTTATACCTTTACCCTCTCTTATTTATCAGCAAGCAGTGTTTAATTTTGCTTGTTTTGAACTTTCAATAAAAAATACTACAATTATTTCACCATTAACACTACACTGAAAGGCTTGTCTCGACTTTCTTTGCCTTAGTCTCACACCTGCTGGCCTGGGGCTGTGGGCCGCCCCGTTCCCTTCTCCATTTCAGGGCTGGTGGGACCTGGCTTGTTTCGAGTTTATTTTTTGCTCTTGTCAACAGTGCTGTTACAGTCACTCCTGTTTTTGTCTCCAAGTGCAAATGCATCCCCAGTTTTCCACACATTGGAGAAACGTTGCTGGTTGTAGATTATAGATAAATTCTAACTCACTAGGAAATGCCGCTGGAGTGTCTGACTGGATCGTGCACGTACGTGCATATGTGTGTATTTCACATGATTTCTAACACTTGGAGTTACTTAGTACGTTTTTGCCCATCTCCGTGGGAAATTGCTTCTCCGAGTGCTTCTGTATTGGCTTTTACGGATTACCGTTGAGGCTGAGCATATTTCTAATGTGATGGTTCTTTTTCTCTGAAATAATACTGAGGCGTTTTCTCACCTTTATTTCCTTGGTTTGTTTACTGATCTCTTAGGTTTCCTTTCCATAGTCTGGACGCTAATCCTTTTTCATTTGTATTCATTGGAAATATCTTTACACTCCCTTTATTCTACGCTTTGATTCTTAATTTTAATACGGTTGAATTTGATGGTCTCTTCCTTTGTCGCTTACTCTTGTTCTTGTATGAGAACCCTGCCTACTCTGAAGTGATAAAAATTGCCTCCGCGTCTTCTGCAAGTGTTCTCCTTGTATCTTCTCACATTAAATCTGCAATGCCTTGATAATTGTGTGTGGAGTTAATAGGAAGATTGATTTTTCCCCTGTAATGACAAACCATTTGTCACTGTCCCAAATGTTAAAGTGTCCATCATGTCTTCCTCTGCCCGGCTGCGTCATGGATTCATACCATAAATAGGTGGGGCTGTTTGTCCATCCCTCTCCTGATACCACGCTGTCCTAATTACTGTGGATTTAAAAGTGTGTTTGGGAAAGGCACTCCACCTTGATCTGTCGAAAATCTCAGCTTGAACATTTGTCTTCCATTTCAGTTTTTAGAAGTAGTTTTTTCTTTAAGTTCGGACAAACCAAAAACCAAATCTGGTTGTAGATTTAATGGAATTTTATTAAAACTCTTGTATCTGTTTGGGAGGGGTGACTTCATGGTGACATTGAGTATCCTTCGCACTGTCTTTCCGTATATATCATCCTACATAGATGTCAGTCAGTTTCACAGTCTTTCCACCGTTATCTTTTCCGATCTCTCATGGGCATATTTTAGGACTTAAATTAGTTGTAATAACAATTAGTTTTGATTGTGTCTGTTGTATTCTAAAAGGTCCCTCTGTGACGCAAGCAGTTTGCGCTCGACTACTAACCTAAAGGTTGGCGGTTTGAGCCCACCCAGTGGTACCACAGAAGAAAGACCTGGCAGTCTGCTTCCATTAAGGTTACAGCCAAGAAAACCCTATTTAGCAGTTCTACTCTGTAACACATGAGGTCGTCATGAGTGCAAATCGACTGCAATAGGCTTGGTATAGTTATCTTCTAAAAAATTTACTTTTCAACCCCGAGAGTATGGCCCCCGGACACCCTAATAGCTCAGTACTGAAGTCACTCCTGAGGGTCACCCTTCAGCCATAGATTAGACTGGCCCATAAAACAAAACAAGACTAAAGGGGCACACCAACCCAGGGGCAAGGACGAGAAGGCAGGAGGGGACAGGAAAGCTGGCATAGGGAACCCAAGGTAGAGAAGGGAGAGCATTGACATGTCATGGAGTTGGTAACCAATGTCACAAAACAATATGTGTACTGACGGTTTAATGAGAAGCTAATTTGTTCTGTAAACATTCATCTAAAGTACAATAATAAAAAAAAGAAAAATTTTCAACTGCATTTGGCTAGAATTCAGAATGCACGGAAATTTATTTTTATATTGAGTTTGCACTCTGGAAGCTTACTGAAAATCTGATTCTGTGATTATCTTCACATTCTTTTTGTGTCTTACATACACAGTCATTTGAGGTATGAATTAAAGCAAGTTTTTTTGTTTTGTTTTTTCTGTTCTAATTCTTTTTTTTTTTCCTCCAGCAGCTCTGGATGGGATCTCTAGTAAAATGCTGACTGGGAGTGAGGTAATGGGAATCCTTGTTTTTACCTGATTTTATTGGGAACAGCTGGCACTTTACAGTGTTTGTATGTTCTCAGATGAACATTTCCTTTGAGTATGCCCTTTGCTGGGCGATGCAGCCTCCCACCAGTTCCTAAACTGCGAAGAATTTTGGATCTGGATGGGTGCTGCAGAGTATAAACGATTTCTGCATCCATTCAGATGATTCTCCATCTTTTTCTTACAGTGAGGTACTGTGATAAATTGTATCAAATGATTGCCTAGCATTTTATTATCAAATATAATGGTTATAGGAAGGGCAGAAAACAGTTCCACAGTAAACTGAAACTCTCTAGGAGGAACATCTGTGGAAAGACAACAACCAGGGCAGGGTTTTTTTGGAAGGCATCCTCACACCAGAAACCCTCTTGAAATGGTTCCTAAAGGCAGGGCACCCCTCGCCACATGTCTCTGCCTTAATTTTGACCCAAAGGGATCTGCGAGTGTCTTGAATGGTCTGTGAGGTGCAGCCAGAGGACGTGAGCCTCACACAGGAATTTAGCACTCACAGGTCCCAGAAAGGAAACTACAGCATGCCTGGATGTGGGGCCACACACGGGGCTGCATCCAGGGACAAGGCCACAACAAGCTGGCATTGTAGGAGAGGGCTTATATATGGCAAGCCAGGGTGGGGTTGGCTGGGTTTTGTGAGCTGAAGTCTTATTGGTCAGTTTAAGGGTTGGTAGGGCATTAGCATGGGAAAAGGGGAAAAGGGAGACATTTTAACACGGGGAATCATGGGGCATGGAGTAACTATTGCTGCAGCTGAGAGACTGGGTTATAAGAGAGTGACAGTATTTGTGGCAGAAGACTATGGGGTGTGGCCTGGAGGCCTAGTCGGAGACTAACTGTTGAGAGACTGTGAGAAGATAGGATGGGCCATGTTGGAAACTGGGTGAAAGGGCCAGTAGGGGGAGGAAATGGACGCTGGGCCCGCAAATTATGTAGGCCACTAATTGGCGTTACGGCAGTTGCCAATCTCCGGAATTACAAGGAGATAATTTTCTTGTTTTTCTTTATCTCTGTGTGCTTTTCTTTACCTGTCTGTGCAACTCTCAGCCAAAATATTTTGTTTGTGTCTGTTTATTTTGTATGCCAGTGGCATGATATGTATTCCTCTAGGTCAGGTTTCTTTTTTCCACGGTTGTATCTGTCTTCCGCGGAATGACGGTTCACTCACTTCTATGGCTCTGTTGTGTTCCCTCATGAGATCGCACCATTTTCATCTGTGGATTCTCCTGCGAGTACCATGGGGATGGCTTCAGAGTGTTCTGTTATGACCAGTGCTTCTAAAAACATTGTTACCTGGGTATCTTCTACATTTGGTTGTCTTCATCTTTTTCTCAAAATTCCCCATACTGAACTCCTGTTCCTCACCCCAAAACTTTTTCCATGTTTACCCTTCTGTTTATGGTTGGCCCCAAAACAGACTAAGATGTCAAGATTGATGACATCACACACAACGAGAGGGTAACGAAATACTCAGGTAATGGGGCTTTCTGGAGAGAACTGGTCCAGATGATTTAAGGGAAGCAGAGAGTGGGTTGGGCCTTTGTAGGGGCCTTTGTAGGGGTCTTTGTAGTGGTCTTTGTAGTGATTGAGGAGCCCTGGTGGTACAGCAGTTACTCGCTCGGCTGCTAATCTTTAGGTCGGCAGTTCAAACCTGTCAGTTGTTCCACAGGAGAAAGATGTATCAGTCGGCTTCCCGAAAGATTAGCCTTGGAACCCCGTGGGGCAGATCTGCTCTGTCCTGTAGGGTCGCAATGAGTCGGAATCGACTTGACAGCAGTGGGTTTGGTTTGGCTTTGGTTCACCTTGACAGTGTTACCTACCTACATGCCACAAGAAGCCCCTTTAAGGGAAAAAATCCCTCCCCGCTGGCCAAAATAAACAGTCGAAAGCTGAGTGATCATTAGTTCCCAAGGCTGTCAGGGAGAGTGAGCCTCCATGGATAGCATCTAAATATTAGCTGTCTGCTACATGGGTTTAGAGTATTTTTGACACTTGTGATTGAATGATATCATGTGTGCCCAGGGTAATGGCCAAGACTCCCATGATCTGAGAAAAGTGAATGTAATTGGCAGGAAAAGAGCACGTTTGTGTCAAGAGAGACCAGAGGAGGTTTGGGGGTGTGTATCCAAAATGAAATATAAGCACCCAGAGTATACAGGGTGTAGGTGATGTTAGTAGGAAGGCCTGAAGGTGGAATATAAGAACAGTGGAGTAGTGCACACTATTACAACAAACTACATACCTGCAGGAGTATCCATTTTGAAAGAAATGCCTGGTATGGGAAGGATTTTACTCATTAAGTACCTGTAAGCCAGATGTCTAGTACCAAGTAATGGTCCCTAAAGACTGGGAGTTGAGTCTAACTAAAGCTGCTAACAAGAGGGAGACCCTGAGACTCTGTGCTGTTCTGTATTATCAGCAAGGTTTGTTAAGTAAGCCGTTATGGCAATCTGTGAGGCCTCTAGCCTGAGGTTGGCACTTGTGTATTGTTTTCTGTAGCTAGCATAACCCCAGTGTCTGCCTCCGTGGTCACATTGTCTTCTCCTCTTTGGTCTATGGTCTCATCTCCCTTTGCTTCTCTCTTATAAGGACATTTATAAATTACATTCAGGGCTCACCTAGATAATTCAGGACAATCTTCCATTTCATGGGCCTTAACTTGATCACAGGTAACATTTGCAGGTTCCAGAGTTAGAACTTGATATCTTTGGGGAACGTCATATCTAAGAAACTATTGCCTAACTCAAGGTCATGAGATTATGTTCTAAATTTTCTTCTATGAGTTTTATAACTTTAGCTCTTAATGTTAAGTTTATGATCCATTTTGAGTTAATTTTTGTGTGTGGTATGAGAAAAAGGACCATTGTCATTCTTTTACATGTGGCTATCCATTGGTCACATTGAATTTTTCAGTGTTCATCTTGATTGCTGTGACTTTGGTGAAGTCGTGCATTACAGTATTTTTCAGTGGATTCCATGTATTTTCTGTAGAAAAGATGATTTGTGAATAGAGTTTTACTTCTCCCTTTCCAATCAAGGGGACCCTGGTAGCGTAGTGATTAAGAGCTATGACTGCTAACTCAAAGGTCGGCAGTTCAAATCCACCAGGCGCTCCTTGGAAACCCTATGGGGCAGTTCTGTTCTATCCTATAGGGTTGCTATGAGTCGGAATCGACTCGACAGCAATGGGTTTTTTTCCAATCAAGATGCTTTTTATTTTATCTTTTTTTTGCCTAGTTGCCCTGACTAGAGCCTGCAGTACAATGTTGAATAGAAATTGTGAGATTGAGGATGGACATCCATGTCTTGTTCCTGATCTTAGAGAAAAGCGTTCAGTCTTTCACTTAAGCATGATTTTAGCTGTAGGTTTTTATGTAAATCCCTTTATCAGGTTGAGGAAATTCTTTTCTATTCCTCCTTTGTAGACTACTGTGAAAGGGCTTTGGATTTTTTGTTAGGCGAATTTTGCCATTGTTTTAATGGTCATATTGTTTTTGTCCTTCGTTCTATTAATATACATTATGTTAATTGATTTTTAGATGTTAAACCGACCTTATAGTGCTGGTATAACTCACACGTGGTCATGATGTATAATTCATTTTACATATTCCTGCATTCCATGTGCTAGCACTGAATTATTGATGATTTTTCTATCTGTATTCATAAGGGATAGTGGTCTCTCGTTTGCTTTTCTTGTGTTCTGTTTGGTTTTGGTATCAGCATAATACTGGCCTCAGAGTGAGTTTGGAAGTATTCATTACTCTTCTATTTTCTGAAAGATTTTACGAAGGATTGGTGTTAATGCTTCTTTAAATGTTTGTAGGATTCACCAGTGAAACCATTGGCCTGAATTTTCCTTGTAGGAATCTTCATAAGTACTATAAGTCAATCCTTCTGTTTGTTCTATGTCTATCAGATATTCCATTTCTTCTGACTCAGTTCAGTAATTTTGTCTAAGAATTTGCCCATTTCATCTAAGTTACCTAATTTGTTGGCATACATTTATTCATGGTATTCTCTTAGGATCCTGTTATTTCTGTAATGTTCGTAGTGATGTGTCTCCTCTTTCCTTCTTGATTTTAGAAATTGCATTTTCTCTACTATTTTTCCTTTATCAATCTAGCTAAAAGTTTGTCAATTTTTTTAATCTGTTCAAAGAAGCAATATACGATTTTCTTGATTTTTCTATTATCAATTTCACTGATTTCCACAATAATCTTTATTACATCTTTCCTTCTGTTTGCTTTGGTTTGAGTTTGATCTTTTTCTAGTTCTTCAGGGCATGAAGATAGGTTATTGATTTGAGATTTTTTATTTTTAATAAAGGCACTAACAGTTATAAATGTATCTTTCAGAACTGCTTTAGATTGCTTTAGATGCATCCCAGAAGTTTTATGTTTTTGTTTTCATTCCTTTCAAAGTATTTTTTAATTTTCTTTTTGCTTTCTTCTTTGACCTATTGGTTACTTAGGAGCATGATGTTTAACTGTCAAGTAATTGTGGACTTCTTTTTTTCATGACTAAGTGAATTCACAAATAATGGGATCTTGGGATATTGACCGTTTTAGCCTCAACACAAAAGTTTTGGTATTTGTACAGCTGAACAATGATACTACTGTTTACAGTATTTCCTTACATACACTTGAATTTTTCCTTGCTTTAAATTTACTTATAAATGTATAAATTTCTAACCGATAGTTATTTTCTCCTAGAGACAATGATATATGAAAGACCAGAATTCTGTGTATTCAGGCCTAACTGTATGACACAGTATAGAGTCTGTGCTAATCATTTTTACGGTGTGATTGAAAAAAAATGAGCATTCTGGACTTGTCAGTTGTCTCTGTATGCTTGATAGTTGAAGCCTGTTGATCCTATTTAAGTATATTACGTGTCAGAGTTTTTGTTTTGTCTAGTGACCTATTAATAATGGAGAGATTGTTCTGGAGTCTCCTAATGTGAAGGCAGATTTTTTTACTTCTCTATGTGGCTCTGTTGGGCTGTCCATCACATAGGTATTAAGGTTTTGTTACATGGTGTAATTTTAGAATCGTCATATTTTCCTGTGTGTATAAAACTGCTGTTGTAATATCATGACTGTCTTTATCTCTAGAAACACTTCTGGTTTTAAAAAGTCGAGAATGTGATATACTTCACACAAATTCATATTCTGTAATTTGAATTTGCCTTTTACCTGGAATACTTTCTTGGCCCTCAGTCTTTTCCTTTATGTTTTTGGCACCATGCATAGCTATTTCATTTTTGCTTCAGTATGATCGTATTTTCTTTAAGACTGGGAAGGTTAGTCCAGTTGCATTACTATCAATATTAATATAGTTTGAATTTTTTCTGCATTTTTCCTTTGAGTCTTGTGTTTGTGTTAGATTTTTTGATTCCGTGTTCTCTTGCTGTCTTTGGGATTGATTGAGGTACTATATCCCTCTTTTGTTACTTTTTTTCTCATTCTTAACTCCAGATTATACCCTCATTGTCACGTCTTCAATTAACTCTCCTAGAAAGGCTCATGTGCATACCTACGTGAACAACCTCATTTTTCAAAAGGTACAGATATACGTAGTGTAGAACCACACAGGCAATTGTAATACATTCTTTTGGATTTCAAATAAGATGCAATTGAACTGATACATATATTTAAGGTGAACTGACTTCTTCATGAGGTTCAGATTGTCACATAGGTTTCCTTCAATTTGTTTTACTTCTATTATCTTCAGTAGAGCTTTCAAATGTTATTTATGTGGTAACAGGCACATCACTGAACGGACCCTGTGGGCACCACATGTTACTGAACGTGAAATGCACCGTTATTTTATACACAAAACAAGTTAGGAAGAGGAACTCTGAACAGTCTGACACAGTGCTATAGTCTCTTTGAGTGTAAAGTGAAGCCCAGTTTACAAAGGTGTTAAGGTGGAAACTTACACATCCTCCCACTGATAAAATACAGTAGGCGACCTGCTTAACCATTGTGTGCTTTTCGGGCTTAGTTTTTCCTATCTTCTGCTTTTCTATTTTTTAATCCCTTTTAATTTCGGGGAGGAATCTTATTTTAATCTTTATACCTTATGGAGCTGACTCCATTTCCCTCTACCTAACTCTAGTGAAGTAGCAGTCCCTTCTTTGTAGCTGATACACCAAACCACCAAACCCGTTGCCATCGAGTCAATTCTGACTCATAGCGACCCTATAGGACAGAGTAGAACTGCCCCATAGGGTTTCCTAGGCTGTAAATCTTTATGGAAGCAAACAGCCACATCTCTCTCCCGAGGAGCAGCTGGTGGGTACTAACTGCCAAGCTTTCAGTTAGCAGCCAAGCTCTTTAACCACTGCACCACCAGGGCTCCTTGTAGCTGATAGAGTTGGGACTGTTTTTCTTCTTTAGATTTTGAGAATTTTTTGTTTAGTTGATCTTTGATTTTTTTCACATTGGGTCTTTACTTCATGGGTGTGGTGTCCTCCTCCATTTCTCTAAAGATACTGATTGTGGTGGTTGGGTGCCATCGAGTCAATTCTGACTCATACCAACCCTATAAGGCAAAGTAAAACTGCCCCATAGGGTTTCCTAGGCTCCTTATGGGAGCAGATCACCAAGACTTCCTACTGTGGAGCTGCTGGGTGGGTTCGAACTGCCAAACTTTCTGTTAGCAGCCAACCTCTTAACCACGGCACCACCAAGGCTCCTTAAAGAAATTGATTAGGAATTTTTTTTCTCACTTGAAATCATCTTTGGTTCTGTTATGATCAGACCCGTCAATGACTCTCTTTGTGGTGCCCCTTTCCTCTAATTATGGTACTCAGATATTGATTTGAGAGGGCCTGCTGGCTTGGTGAATGCTGCAGGAACCAGGTGTTCCTCATACCTGACAGGTAGACACAGGCCTCAGGGCCCTGCCCTCCCACTCTGCCACCGTGTCCACGTCCTCTTTGGAGGAGACTGGTTGAAATCGGCAATGTACCCTAAATGTTTGCAATACCCAGACATTCTGGTTCTAGTTCTTTGTGTCTGATAAAACAGTACCTGAGCAAACCAAGTTTCTGTTTTTAGTGTCATATGAATGACGATTTTACTTGTCAGTCTACCCTATCTTGGAATCTGCGCTATCTCAGGACAGATAATGCTTTTAATGATGTGAGCATATGTATATATCCGTTGTTGCCATCTCACTTCATGTTTTCAAAGCACTTAACCATCCCCAAGTATACTTTATTGCCTTAATGATTATCATCTCCCACAAGACTGTCAGGTCCCTGTGGTTCAGAAATCCTGTGACTTGAGTCTAGTATCTCAGGCCAGCAACCTCCCCTATCCTCCTGCACACACTGGGGAGGTGGTGCCTTGCTGAAACAATAAGTGGGCTCTTTTAGGACTCGGTGGTCTTTGAGGATTTGGCTGTGAACTTCACCCAGGAAGAGTGGGCTTTGCTGCATCCTTCTCAGAGGGACCTCTACAAGGATGTGATGGTGGAAACCTTCCGGAACTTGGCCTCAGTAGGTGAGGATGGTTTCATTCCTTTACTTAGTCTTTTAGGGAACAAATGTATCTTCCACATTGTCCTTTTTCATTTGGGCTGAACAATGGGGATATGTTGGAGAAAGGACAGGCACAGTCCCAGCCCTCATGGAACTTGAGATCCCATAGCTTTTGCATGAAAACAGAGTTTTGTATATTAAACTGGCTTTGCATTTCTCTTGGTCAAAAATGTCAAGACTCAGTAAGTTTCTAAGTGTGGGCAGTCCCCAGTGTCACTGTGGAGCACAGAAAGAAGATTCGTGGTTTCAACCCATGAGAGTTATACTCTGATTACTGCCCATTGGTAATTTTGCTGCAGTTGAACCTGCGCTTGGCCCATCTCATGGAAATGCTTGTTACCCTTCAGTGTCCTCCCTCATCTTTCACCCTTCTCCAGGAGAGTGTTAGCCACACATACCTGTGTCATCTGGGGACAGTGGAAGGGGAACTCCTCTAGGGCGTCTGTGCCTGTGAGCACCAGGAATCCAAGGGTCCTTGGGAGGAACAGGGCTTGGATAAGGGAATTACATTTGGAAATACCAATTAGAAAAATAAATCAAGCTTTGAGAAGGATGAAGTTTGCCGTTTATGTTGACTTGTTTCACTTTTTATCCATCCTCACCCTTTCCTTCTCAGCAAAAGATGTTCCTTAGGTCTCAAAGGTAGCATTTGGACATGTGCATTTTCCTCAGTTCCTCCCTTCTTTGCTTTTCTGATAATATTCTGTTTATATACATCAATCTCCATTTTTAGAAGTATTTCTTAGTAGGTGGAGTCCCTGGGTGGTGCAAAAGGTGAATGCACTTGGCTACTGACTGAAAGATTGGAGGTTCAGATCTACCCAGAAGATAGGTCTGCTGACTTAGTTCCACAACTAAGCACTGAAAATCCTCTGGGGTACAGTTGTATTCTGATACACATAGGGTCGCCATGAGTTGCAGCAACTCCATAGCCACTGATTTCTTACTAGAGAGGCTGCCGTGGTGACCCATTTTCCCAATTAATTGTGAAAGTCCTCAAGAGTTTTCCTTTTCTCACATGGCCATTCTTCCTTATAAAACATGTTTCCCTTTCTGCGTCAGCATATGAAAAGAAATCTTCATGTGGTCTGTTTTCTTTCCTTTATTGACTATACTTACCCCGTAATATTTGTTTTACAAATTTTTGCAGATTGTTGTACTCAAGTTAAAACTACTGGATCAAGTCCTCAGCAGGATATTTTGGGGAATGAAATAACCACTGAAGAAAAAATAAGCTCACTAAGAAATGATTCCTGGTATAATTTGGTAGAAAAAGGGAAACTTAATAACATGGAAAATCAGCACCAAATCCAGGAGAGGCATTCGAGGTAAGTGACACAAGTGGAAGGAGTATTGGCAGCAGAGTGTTAGAGTGTCTTGAAAATAAAGAAAAAGTATACATGTAGCTAAACAAGTTGGTACTGAGAGGGAATTTTCACAATATTTTTATAAATGTGAACTAGATATCGAGTGACTGAGATATAATTCAGTTGTAAACAATGGTCAGCAAACCCTATAGTGAGAAAGAGATTGAAAGCAATGTCTTTATTCAAACCCTCAGCCAAGCATTCAGGTTGTTCCACTTTGAAACAATTTAGACAGTGCAGAAAACATACCCATTTACTGAGAAAGGCAAATATGTGGTCATAATTATCATTCACTTGCCTCTGATCTTTAGGGAACGTGTGAGCAGTCACAAAGGACAGAAAATCCCTGCATGTGAAGTATGCGGGAAAACCTTTATGCATTCCTCCTCCCTTAAACTACATTTAAGACGTCACAGTGGAGAAAAACCCTATGAATGCAAGGAATGTGGGAAAGCGTTCAGTTGTCCCACATACTTTCGAGAACATGTGAGAATGCACACTGGAGAGAAACCCTATGAATGTAAGTATTGTTGGAGAGCCTTCAGTTTTTACTCATCCCTTCAAGAACATGAGAGAACGCACACTGGAGAGAAACCCTATAAATGTAAGCAGTGTGGAAAAGCCTTTACTTGTTACTCCTCCCTTCATGGACATGAGAAAACACACAATGAACAGAAAACTTATGAATGTAAGCAATGTGGCAAAGGTTTCAGTTGTCCCAAATACTTTCGAATACACGTGAAAATGCACAGTGGAGAGAAACCCAATGAATGTAAGCAGTGTGGCAAAGTCTTCATTTGTCCCAAATATTTCCGAAAACATGTGAAAATGCACAGTGGAGAGAAACCCTATGAATGTAAGGAATGTGGGAAAGCCTTCATGGTTCTCTCATACCTTGAAAGCCATGTAAGAACGCACACTGGTGAGAAACCCTTTGAATGTAAACAATGTGGGAAAGCCTTCAATTGGCCCACCTCCTTACAAGCCCATATGAGAACGCACTCTGATGAGAAACCCTATGAGTGTAACCAATGTGGGAAAGCTTACAAGTGTTCCAAATACTTTCAAATACATGTGAAAATGCACAGTGGAGAGACACCCTATGTATGTAAGGAATGTGGAAAAGCCTACAGTTTTCCCTCATCCCTTCGAGAACATATGAGAACCCATTCTAACAAGAAAAGTTATGAATGTAAGCAGTGTGGCAAAGCATTTAGTTGTTCGAAATCCTTTCGAATACATAAGAAAATGCACAGTGGAGAGAAACCCTATGTGTGTCAGGAATGTGGAAAAGCCTACAGTTTTCCCTCATCCCTTAGAGAACATATGAAAACACACACTGGAGAGAAGCTTTTTGATATTAAAAAGAGACCATATGAATGTAAGCAGTGTGGGAAAGCCTTCATGTTTCCCTCATGCTTTCAAAGACATGCGAGAACACATAGTAAAGAGAAGCCCTATGAGTGTATGCACTGTGGGAAAGCCTACAAATGCCTTGAATCCCTTCAAGGACACCTGAGGAAACACACTGGAGAGCAACCCTAAGAATACAAAGAATGTAGGCAGGCCTTCATTCACTCTTAAAGCCTTGTACATGCAAGAAAACACACAGGAAAAAGCCCTTATGAGCATAAACAATGGGAAAACATTCAGGTACAGCAATCCTTTTATTGTGTACACAGAAACTTGGAACAGAAAAGAGATCTTTTAATTGTTATGATATTGCCTTTGCGTCTCATCCTTCATATGGATCTCGTGTATTATGCTTTTGATATAAGCATCTAAGATAATATCTATGTCCTTGGGTGGCACAAATGATTAACTGCCAGACTACTAACTGAAAAGTTGGCAGTCCCAATCCACTCAGAGGTGCCTCGGAAGAGAGTCCTGGTAATCTATTTCCAAAACAATCAGCCATTGACAACCCTATGAAGTGGGGTTCTGTTCTGAAACATGGGGTGCCATGAGTCAGAATCAACACAACAGCAACTGGGTTGGTTTTTATGTACTCTTTCAGCTGTGCCACATATATTTTGTTATATGAAACTTTAATTGTATGGTTGCATAAAACTTGTCTCATTTCCATTACGGTGTTTATTAAACTTGGTTTTTGGTTTTTTTTTAATGGACAACATGGTGTAATTTTATATAAAAAGTTTTTGATTCCTATTTTGCATTATGTTTCTGATATCTAGTCATGATGCTATGAGACATTGGGGTTGTTTACATTATTTTCTGGTCCACTATTGCAGATAGTGGAATTGACTGACTTGATACCGACCTTCCCCTTTATTCTTTATTATTAAAAGATGTATCTTCCACATTTGTTTGTTGCTAATCGATACCACATCCTGTGTTCTTAGCAGTAATTAGTAACTGTGCCAGCATTTTGAAAGAGAACAGCCTGGTCTGACTTGTGTTCCTATTTTGAGCTTTGTTCATTTTCCCTGACCTTGATTGGAAATGTCACATGATGCACTGAATTAAGAAGAGAGGCCTTATAGCATGAAGATAATCTAGAGTACAGATGGTTCCACTGAATCGCACTGTCAACGTGGGTAAAGTTGTGAACTACGTCTCCCAGAGTCTCGTCTGTTTGTGGTTCTGGGTTAAAGTTCACAAGAAGAGGAAAATGCACCAGTGAGTGTTGGAAGGCAGAAGTGAAGAAGCCTTTCCTCTCCATTCTGCTGGGCCATCAGGAGAGAAGTATGCATAGGAACCCAGTAGCCTAGGTTACAGCTCACCTTTGACATCTGGCTTTTTCACTCAAGAACAGCTCAAACCACACACCGCCTGTTTGACTTTAGTTCCCTCCTAGGCTGCAGCTTCCACAGGCTTTTCCAGAAGTTCCCCTGTTGGGGACCGTCTTTTGTACTCAGGCACACACAGCTTCATCTTCTGACCCCCTTTATCTCCAACTCTTCCATATTACCTGATTTCTATCGTAAGCACCTTTTTGTTACAATAGTCATTCTTTTTCCTGATCCCACCCCAGCAGATTAATGCTGCAGCCAAAAAGGCAGGAAACCTAGTTCCCCGTGGCTTTCTTAAGAGACTTCACTGACCGTGAAGTTATTTTTTCTGACATTTCCATGATTGAAATACAGACTTGGAATATATATGGCAGATTGTGGGCGTTTTCTGTTAGAGCTGAATGCTATCTTTGAATGGTAAACCCGCCATATTTAACTGATTTTTGTATGTATTACCTAGTGTTTGTTTCATTTTTATATATGATTCAAAACAATTAGCATTTTTGTCAGATAGTTCTGTACATGTTTCTTGAAAAACTCGTAGGTTTTATAACGTGTTGTGTACATTACCGATGTCGTTATGTTTTATGTTTCATTAACTGTTTCCTTGGCCAAGACAAAATGTTACAATATCCCATTGTGATTGTTAATTCATCCTTGTATCTATTTTTCTTTATATAGTCTGAGGTTATAATACTAAATATATACCTATACCTTTTGACTATTTTTTTGTGTATTTTTCTTCAATTCCTATAGCTACCCTGAGTTTTTTTCATTCCTAATAGTGAAAACCTGATTATTGTTCATGTCGACACCCTCCAGTGAAAGAAAACCAGGAGCGCACCTACGGTCACACAAAGTTGAGACTCCTGACTCATTGCAAAGATAGAAACCACATACCATGAAGTCACCTTGGGTGTCTCAGTATGAGGGTGTTATAAGAATAGTGTATTTGACCAGTTTGTGAAAGGTACAACGAAGCCGGGCTTTATACTAGATTGGAAGCAATGAGGAAGGGAGAGTAATTTTATGACTGGGAATCTAAATTCATATCCAATGTTGGAAAGATAGACTGAAGCTAAAGCTGTTACTGGAAAGAAGCCTGTCACCCCTATTGGCCAGGTTAGAAGTTGGTGGGTCTTTTGTGTTTGGGACAATGTCCTTGTTTCTCTGCTCGGAGATCCTTATGGAGTGTCCTTTTGTCCTGACCCATCATGGTCACAGAGTAGTCCTGTCTCATACTGGTGTTTCATGAAGCCATTTGTGTTAAACAGGGTGATGCCTTGTCCCTCTGTGAATGCCTGGCCAGCCCCTAGCAACGCCAAGGCCAGTTGTGTCATGACAGGTCCCGTGTGTCATGTCCATCTTCCTGTTTCACAGTCTCCCTCTCGTAGAGGACAGATAACGTCATTCAGCAGGATACTAACCTGTGATAGCCACATCTTAATTACCACATTGAGTTGATCAGGAGGCTGTCCACAGTGCCCTGTCTGTAATTGGATTAACATTAGTCTCTCCTTGTCCCCTCTGTTTCCAGATGAGTTAATTGAATTCTTTAATGTGACCATAAGGAGGCCTGGTGGTGCAACTGTTAAGCACTTGGCTGCTGACTGAAAGGGTGGAGATTTGAACCCACCCAGTGGCTCCATGGGAGAGATATCTGATGATCTACTTCCATGAAGATTGCAGCCTAGAAAACCCTTTGGGGCAGTTCTACTGTGTCACATGGGGTCAGTATGACTTGAAATTGACTCAATGGCACCTAACAACAACAGTGTGACCGTGGCTTTGCAGTAGCATTTTATCCTCAGGACAGGGAAATGTTTCCAACTGGAACCAGGCAATTACCAGACAGAGAGGACACATCTTAGTCCTAGTCATGTTCATCGAACACGGGGGTCTTGCTTCCCAAGCACAGGCGATGCAGAACATGTCCCAAAGTCCACCGGACACTTTCTAGAGACCCAGGTGTTCTTTTATCCTTTAGCCTAATCATGGACTGTTGTACTTCACCTGCAGTGTTTTTAGAGGTGCAGGAAAATGTGCTTGCTAAAGCGTGAATTCCCCCTCAGCTAGTCAATTTTAATCAAAGGTGTTGGGATTCCAGGCAGAACTTGTGTCACTCTGCTAACATCAGAGACAGGTGTTGATGTGCTGCTCCCTTCCTATTGAGCTTGCAGCGTACGTCTTTTCATCCACAACCTCTCAGAGACTGAGAATCTAGGCTGCTTGTCGCTGTTCTTGGACACCAGCAATATTCTTAATATTAGCTATCACCGTCATGAATATTCAGAACAAATAATGCCTCTTAGTTGATTTCTTTTTACTATAAAAAACATTGTATATTTATGGGAGATAAATTCACAAGTGCTAAAAAGGATGATTATTAAAGACCTTCCTGTAATCTCAGCATGTGGAGAAAAATCATTTTCCTTTTTGCAGACTCTTGCTTTCTCTAGAAATGGAATTTGGGGTGAGGATTCCCTTTGAATTTTAGTCACTTCATGTAAAATTCAGCCCATCATTGAACTCTACTGAATTTTGGTCCACAATCTAGGTGTTGCACCTGAGAGCAGTAACGCCACGATATCAACTCCCCTTTACTGCCTAAAAGATGCCTCGACTGTGCTCTTCCTGTGCTACAGGTGGAGGAGGCGGGGGTTGTGGTAGGTGTCACTGATTTCCCTGTGGCTGAGAGGAAGCAATCTAGAGGTTGAGACCTGGACCCTGCATTCTTTTTTTTTTTCTGTTTATTGTAGTTTAAGTGAAAGTTTCCATTTCAAGTTAGTCTTGGACCCTCCATTCTGATGGGCTTCAAGACCAACCTGTTCCAAAGACTCCACTTATGTCACTAAGGACATCCCCTCCCACATTTAAGAAATATGTGGTGGGCCCAGACCGGTTCTAGATGTAGCTGAATACTATAGTCATAATGTCTACACTAAGGAGGCTCTAGGTTTTGAAAAGCATAAAGCAGGGAAAAGGGCCCCTAAACTGAAGGTAGCGTGGAGAGATCTTTGAATTGGGAGCAAGGAGACTTGCCTCCTTGGAAGGCAGCATCGCGATGTAGGAGGGAGTCTTGTCGCTGGTGGTGTCTGTGTTCTCCTGGCTTTGAGGTCAGACATACCTCGGAATCCTAGCAGGACTGCAGCTGATCTCGGTGTCCTTAGCCAACTCTTCTCATCCTGTGCCTCAGTTTAAGGTCACCATCAAGATCATTCCTTATTCATCGATTTAATTTTAGATTTTAAAAGAAATTCTAGTATCGGAGATTTTAAAATGTGAAAACGAAGCCGCTGGCAATGTTATGATACTGTTAATAGCATGATACATCCGAATTCCAGAGACATTAGATTATGAGAAATCCTGCATTTTAGAGTCCGAGAAACGGCAAGAGTAAGCCTTCTTTCTACAGGGGTAACTAATTCCTCAAATGATAGAAAAGGTAACCTGTTGGTGTATTCATTCCTTCATTTACCACCTGCCATGGAGCTGTGAGTACTCTGTCAACGTGCGTAAGAATCTCGGGGAGAGTGTTGACGTGGGGTTGGCAACCAATGTCACAAAACAATATGGGTATTAATTGTTTAGTGAGAAACTAGTTTGCTCTGTAAACCTTCATCTAAGGTACAATTAAAAAAAAAAAAAAGAATCTCCGTAGGGGTCTCCCTAAAATGCAGATTCTAACTCTGGGCTGTGAGCTGGGTCTGAGGGTGCACTCTGGGTAGGAAGGGTCTGGAATATGACCAAGGGTCCACCCAGGTGCTGCGCAGACTCAACGTTGGAGAGGGAAACAGTGGCCACGGGCTTTCTTCCTGTGGAGTTTCAATTAGGTCAGGAAAACAGAACTAGCCCTAAATAAACTAAAGGAAGACATGACCATGAAAGTGAGGGAGATTATCCCACAGATCATTAACGAAAGAGAAGATACTGTTCACAAGGAGAATACTGCTCTGAAGATAATGTGAGTCGTTTAAACGGAGACCACCAACGAACAGTCAGCCTTGTGGGGAGAGGGAGGGCAGAAACGGAAATGCAGTGTGAGAAGGCTCCCCGCAGGAATGTATTTTGTAATCAATTAACTGGGTCTGATGATTAGAGGGGGTTATTGTGTGGATTCATCTAAATCTGTCTGCAGGAGTTGGGGAAGTGGGGCCCAAGTACATGGTTGTAAACAGAATAACTGCGGGGAGGCAGAAGAATCCAAATTTGAATATTGACAGCAAAAATCCTGATCATACGTTGAAGTGTCAATTCAATGGAGTTTTACGATATCAAATCTGTTTCAATGAACTTAATAGGAAATCAGTAATGATAGGTTCCGAGAGCAAACTAGGAAATATGTTTTCCCTTAAAATTCATCCAGGAGAATACATTTTTTAGTGCAAATGTTGACGTAATACCGGCAGACGTCCCTGGGTGGCCCCACAGTCCCATCCGACACTGACCCCGGGGACCCCAGGCCCTTCTGTCCCCGCCTAGTCGCCCCTCCTGCTCTGGACGAGGAATGAGTCCCCTGGAAGCTGAGTCTTGAGTTTCTGCACGCACCTGTGTCCCGCGTCCTGGAGGAGACGCAGGAGGCCCCAGAGCTGCGCGGAGACGCGGGTGCCCGCCCGGGGCCGGAGAGCCAGTGTCTAAAAAAATGCGGGCATCCTGGGGGCGGGGGCGGGAGGAAGTCACGCCCACTCAGCCACGCCTCTTCCGCCCTCCTGTCACTCAGCCTCCCGGTGGTGGGAACGCTTGGGGCAGTGTCCAATCAGGGGCTCAGGGGGCGGAACTGCGAACACTGCCCAATCGGAAACTTGGAGAGCGTCTGGCGGAGCGTCGGTTTGCAAGCCTGCTCTACCTCGTTTCTCTGCGCCTCGGCTCGGAGATCTAGGCTTCCCTGGCTGGCGCGGCCCGAGGTGTCGTGTCCTCGCGGACAGGACGCCGGGAGATCTGCGGAAGTCGGACATGGTGAGCGTGGGGCCGGGTGTTCCAGATGGGGCGAGGGGACGGCCGGCTCGAAATGGCTGGAAGCGGCGGTGCGCGCGGCCCCGGGTGAAGACGCCCTCACCCTGAGGGACCGACCGCAGGAGAAGGACCGGTCCCCGGGGCGCGGAGGGGACGCCGGAGTCTCTGAGGGAAAGCGGCCCGGGACTCGCTGATGAGAGAGACTCAGTCCCCAGGCGGGCGCAGTGGGGACACTGGGACCTCAGGGTCTGCGGGCTCTCCTCACGGGGGACAGGTGAGGCCATCGGGGACTGGGGAGGTGGACACGGCTGGCAGAGGGTCACCGGGGACTGAGGGGAAGTGGACACAGCGGGGAGGTCACCGGGGACTGAGAGAAGGTGGATACGCGGGGAGAGGGTCACCGGGGACTGTGAGGGGAGGTGGACAAGCAGGCGGAGAGTCACCGAGGACTGAGGGGAGGTGGACATGGCTGGGAGAGGGTCACGAGGGACTGGTGGGAGGTGGACACGGCGGGGAGAGGGTCAGCGGGGACTGTGAGGGGAAGTGAGCGCTCTAAGGAGAGGGTCACCGGGGACTGAGGCGAGGTGGACACAGAAAGGAGAGGGTCAACGGGGACTGAGGGGAGGTGGACATGCAGGCGGAGGGTTCCTAGGGACTGAGGAGAGGTGGACACGCCTGAGGAGAGGGTCATCAGAGATTGTGAGGGGCAAGTGGACACACCCGGAGAAAGGTCACCAGGGACAGTGAGGGGAAGTGGACATGGAGGGGAGAGTGTCACCAGGGAGTGTAAGGGGAGGTGGACACACCGGGAAAGTGTCACTGGGGACTGTGAGGGGAGGTGGACACACCTGAGGAGAGGGTCACCAGGGATCTTGAGGGCAAGTGGACACGCCCAGGGAAAGGTCACCAGGGAATGGGAGGGGAAGTGGATATGCCCTGGGAGAGGTCACCATGGACTGTGATGGGGAGGTGGACATGCAGGCGGAGGGTCACTGGGGACTGAGGGGAAGCGGATTCGCCCAGGGAGAGGTTTACTGGGGACTGAGGGAAGGTGGACACACTGACATAGGGCCACCAGTGTTTGGGAGGGGTTGTGGACACGCCCGGTTAAGGGTCACTGTGGACTGTTTGGGGAGATAAACATGCCTGGTGAGAGGGTTACCTGAAAATCAAAGACAAGCA